AGCCCCCCTACCTTACAGATGAAAATAACTCATGGAGATGAGACAATATTCATTCCAAATAGCTATGATCACATGATGATCATTGAAATGTCACATATACAAATATATAATAATTGTCAATTTTTCACTGTATTAATTGCTAATTAAAACAAAATGAACTAGCATTGCTGAAGACCATAAAAAGACCCCATCACATGGGGACATAATGTCTTTGCTTTTAGACAATAAAATAAACCACAAAGAGCATATTTCTATCATTTATGTGAAATCAAGTAGGTTAATCATTTATGATTTTTATGCTTCAAAGCTTATGTGTGCTACATGCTGTAGAGAGATCTAAACCATTACTCTAAAGCCCAATGTACCATGCATGCTCCCTGCTGCTGTAGAGTCAGCCTCATCAAATTGAGCTTTGTCTAAAAGATATTTTAAATATATTATTGGATGAAAGGTGCTGCTCGATTATGCAAAACCAGCACAATAAAGCTAGTTAGCAAAGGTATATAGCTCTTGGCATTCTTTTCCTCTGAGAGCTCAAATAATCAAGTCCAGGAATACTCACACAGAGACCTGATGCTGACCATGTATTCCAAACTAGATGTCACTGAGGTTCTGGGAAGATGAAATGTGAAGCTGTTGTAAACATTTCCACTCAAATTCCAAATCTGAAGTAATCAGTCGCCTATTAAACACATACTTGTCTCTAGCTGGGTAGCAAGACCAGGAACAAACTTGCAAAGTTAAAGGAGGAAAAAGGAAAATGCATCAATATGCCAAAGATAAGAAGCCAACTGGGATAAGTGGAAATATTGAAAAATATTGGAAAAGTATGGAACACTGAGGTCAGAAGTTCCCATATTTAGCTTGAGAATTTAGAAGAGTTTCCTTCGCTGTGCTGCCAGTCAGGATTTGCCTGCAGGTGAGCTCTTGCCTGTGGCTCAAATCAAGTCAAAAAATGCAAAGTGGACAGTGTCCCACTGTGTGGGAACATCTCCTCTCTCTGTATTTGTGTAAAAGGGCTCTAAATTACTCCTGACCAATGTCTGCCAAACATCTTATGAATCTTCCACAGGGGAATTTCTCCATGCTCAGTCTTCCTCTCTGACATGAAGATGACCTATTGACTTAGCTAAGATTTCGTCAAAATGTTAGGTGTAATCCTCCATCAGCTTCAAGTTCATTGCAGCTCCCAGCAAAGAAAGAGGGGGTTTTGTTACGAGGGCAAGGAGAGGTAGAGAATAGGTGGAATCAAGCATAAGCCAATCCACATGCAGAGTAAAACCAGGTAATAGATCAGGTTATTTTCAGGGTTACCTCTAGAGCAACCTATATGCAGAATCCAACTGTATACAGTGATATACATGTGCCATAAATAACAATGAATCTTAGAAATGTAATTTTCTGTCAGGAGTTTGCATGCTTGTGAAAGTTCATAAATAACTGATGTTTATTACCCTCCACGTGCCACTGTTGCAGTAGCTGATAATAGCTGAGTAAATAGTAGATGGGATGAATTCCTCCACTGATTTCAAATAAACCTTATGAGTTGAAGCAATAAAGAATGTTAAACAGTGTGCACAAAATAACGTGCTGTTAGATACCATATATGATGCTTCAGTAAACACTAAGGCATTTTAATCTTGGTTCCAACATAGTAAACTGCAAGATAATAAGCTAAGGAAGCATGCTATTCTTTAAAACTCTTCCAAATGCTTCTGCATACTGTTACCCTGTACTTAAGACTGCTGACAGATGCTGCTGTCACTTTCTTTCTGTGTCATTGAAATGAAATTGGTCTGAAGTTCAGATGAACATATTCATTTGTGTTGAAATTTATTATTGTAACTTGCATAATGTGTCTGTGAGTGTGGTTGCAAACTCAGCTCCTGTCCATAAGAAGTGATAAAAGACACTACAAGAGGTTTATGTGGCCTCACTTATACTACTTGTTTAAAAAGAGCACCCAAAGAAGTATTCTTGCACAAGAAGCCTACAGACAAAAGCACTCCAACACATCAACAAACCGGAGCAGTCAGCCTGAAAAAACAATGCCCATCTTTGTATCAGTGGCCCCATCGGTCAGAATTCCCCCTGCACACTGTGAACCAGTTTCCAGTTCTCCTCACTGATATGATAATGTTCCAGCTGGAGACCTGTTACAAGTGGTGTCCCGCAGGGGTCGGTACTGGGGCCCATCCTGTTTAATATCTTCATTGATGACTTAGATGAAGGGATTGAGTGTACCCTGAGTAAGTTTGCAGATGACACCAAGTTGGGAGGTTGTGTTGATCTGCCTGAGGGCAGGGAGGCCCTGCAGGGGGATCTAGGTAAGCTGGATCGCTGGGCTGAGATGAATGGGATGAGGTTTAATAAGGCCAAGTGTCGGGTTCTGCACTTTGGCCACAACAACCCCAGGCAGCGTTACAGGCTTGGGGATGAGTGGTTGGATGATTGTGAAGAGGAAAGGGACCTGGGGGTGTTGGTTGATGCTCGGCTGAACATGAGCCGACAGTGTGCCCAGGTGGCCAAGAGGGCCAACGGCATCCTGGCCTGCATTAGAAATAGTGTGGCCAGCAGGAGCAGGGAGGTGAGCATCCCCCTGTACTCAGCACTGGTGAGGCCGCACCTCGAGTACTGTGTTCAGTTTTGGGCCCCTCACTACAAGAAAGACATTGAGGCCCTGGAGCGTGTCCAGAGAAGGGCAATGAAACTGGTGAGGGGTCTGGAGCACAAGTCTTATGAAGAGAGGCTGAAGGAGCTGGGATTGTTCAGTCTGGAGAAGAGGAGGCTCAGGGGAGACCTCATTGCACTCCACAACTTCCTGAAGGGAGGTTGTGGTGCAAAAGGGTCTGGCCTCTTCTCCCAGGCAAATAGTAGGACCCGAGGAAATGGCAAGAAGTTATACCAGAGGAGGTTTAGGTTGGATATTAGGAGAAACTTTTTCTCTCAGAGGGTGGTCAGGCACTGGAATGGCCTGACCAGGGAGGTGGTGGAGTCGCCATCCCTGGCAGTGTTCAAGAGGCGCCTGGATGAGGAGCTACGAGAGATGGTTTAGTAGCTTGTGGCACTAATAGGAATGGGAGGGTGGTTGGACTAGATGATCTTGCAGGTCGTTTCCAACCTTGTGATTCTGTGATTCTATGTGCTGATTTTCATTTTATTGAATTGCTCTGTGGGGTCAGCTGCCTCCCTTTTCATGCTGCACCATCAGCGTTAGAGATCATAGAACCATTAAAGTTGGAAAAGACCCCTAAGAACATCTAGTTCAACCACCAATCCATCCCCACCATGCCCCTCAGTGCCACATCTATCCTTTCTTTGAAAATCTCCAGATGCATATTATACTTCTCTTCCAAATACGTGCTGACATTGTGAAGAGCTATGCAGTGGTATAGGAACCAAAAGGCTGGATGCACGTCCCATAAGATGGCAGATGGTAATGCTGGGCCTGCTGCAGACCATCTATCAACACATACAGCTCTTGCTGCACCGTAGAAGGCAGTGAGAATAAAGGCGTGTTGCCTTCTGATGACCCTGAATGAGCACGCAGTGTGTCCCATGCACGGAAAGGTAAGTAGAAACCATTACACGTTACAAAAATGGATGGTGTTTTCTGCTTCAAAAAAAGCTACTATGTATTATAGTGTTTGATGCTGGAAGGAAAAGGAGGAGGAGGAGGAGGTGTTTAAGTCATTAAGTACTGCTGGCTTGCAAGGCTGTAATACTTAAAATTTTAATGGAGCAATGGCACTATGAGATTTGTAATACGATGTGAAGTTCAAAGATTTGACAGTGTTTTCTGGGTCTTTGCCACTCTCGTTAACAGAAAATCTTTTAGTTAATAAAGTAGAAGTAGACACAGAAGGCTAATGACCACTTCTGTCTATTGAAGTGAGTGAACCAAAACTCTTGCGATGTCAAAAGTACACGCTTGACACATTAGTCTCTAAGGAAGGAGGAATGTTTGTAAGAGTTAGTGTAACTTGAGGTGCAGGCTCAAGGCTGCCTTGAAAATATGCAGGATGAGTCCTTTTATACAAAATCTAGGAGATCTAGCACTTGATTGCAGATTACTGCAGATTGTAAACTCAGCTGGGCTTTACAACAGCATGATTTGGCATTAGTTTTAAAAATAACAAGCAACTGTGCTAGCTGTATGCAGCATGCATCCAAACAAATGCAATGACCTGCTGTGATGTGCACTGGAATCTGTTCCCCTCTTTGATTTCATTTACATCACGGTGATGCAGCATGCTCCTGGGCCTAAACTGAGACTTCTGTGGCCCCTGATTCACTGAAGTGGTGATGGGTTGCCCCCTATAGGGAAGGAAAAATATATTTCATCCACCTCTTCTGTTTACATCAGGTTTCTTTTGCTGATTTCTGGGTGGAGCCTGGCAGGGGCTGAGTCTGGGAGTCCCCAAAGTGGCTTGTGGTAGGAGCATGTCTGAAGGATCTGCCAGGGAATGAGTACAGAGAGAACAGCCAGGGGAAAAAAAAAATGGTTTCAGTGCCCTAGATGTATGGGTTTATTTATTTATTTATCATCATTCATAATAAATAAGCAACCTTTTATTTATTTAATGTGATACATTTGTAGATTGAAGACCTTTGCAAAAGCAGTGCAATATTTTCGTTCCAAATAGCTGAGAGCATCACTTCACAGAAATTCAGACACTGAATTTAAGCGTCAATTATGCTAACAAAGATTAGGTTTCAGCTCTTGCAATACTTGTCTCATTTCAAGAGTTGGTGTTTGTAGTTCAACTGTCCCTATTCCTTTTTCGTCTCCATGATATTTGGCTAGCAAAGGGCTTCCATGATCCGCTTTAAGTACAACTCTTTGTGCATAAGTAGTCCGTGGGAGCAATGTCTTTTTAATCCCCATCAGTAAGGTGAGCCTAAGTGTTTTAACTGCATTCATGTGCTGCCAGCAAGTTTTATACTGTTGGTACAGATGGTATGGATAAGAGTCTCTTTATCCTTCTTTTAGAGCTGAAACCTGTGTCAGTGTCCACAGTGTTTGAATAGTCTGGTTTTAATAGAAACATGAAAACGCCATATGGAGCCAGACAACCATTTCCTTCCTTCAGTGTGTTTGGTGAGTTTGAGTTTACTTTAACTTGACATCTTATAAATCATGTATCATGTAGTGACCATATAAGGTTACCTTTTATTGAAAGGATATTGGTGTTGAGAGCTTGCTATGCTTGGATATTTATTAAGGAAATGAAAGATATCTAGAACATATGATATGCTTCGTGTTGCTAAACATTATTAGTTTACCAACAGAAAAGTGTTTCTTTTTCTTGCCCTCTGAGTATACAAGATAAAATACTGAAATAAAATTTGCCCTTGAATTAAAGTCTAATACTGCGTACATCCTGTTGAAGTCACAGACTATTTGACAGCGTGTTTTGAAATCACTCCCGGCTTCATGTTTTATGCAGGAAGGAAACATACCTGTGGAGACAGCCTCAGGCAGTGGTAATTAAAATACGACTGTGTGCCACATGACCTTAAGGCATATTACTGCTTCAGCCCTTCACCTTGCAGTTGTTAAAATACTGGGCTAGGTTTATTAACAAAGCACCATCTCAGTGTAAGAAATGTGCTGGGGGAAACAGGTCTACCATCTTCCCTTTGTAGGAAGGAAGCAGTAAGTGATAGCTCAGTAAGTTCTGTGACAATGTAATATCTGTCCATTTTCTTCCCTGGCAGCTGCAGGTTGCCTAAAGCAAATGGTCCGACATAATGAATCCATCAGTTTTGGAGACAAAGCACAAATATAAAGATAGTAGCAGAATAGAAATATCTGAATATATGTCCTCATGCTCCCAGTCTCCTAAGTCCTCTGATTTTTCCTGATCTCTCACAACGATCAAATCTGAAAAATGCATCCCTGTTTATTCCTGTGTGTGATGGGCTGTTAACCAGAGTGATCTGCTGACTGTTTCAGGAAGAAAATCCTGATTATCTCCTGGGACAACCTGTGCCTTGCAGGGAGAGGTGCTGCTTTCATGTGTGACCCTCTTACCACCCATGAAACCATTTAGATACAAATCTCTCAACCTGCATCTCATCAAGCTGTGTGATGTAAAGCGACAAGGCTTTTTCAACCTGTTGAGATTGACTGTACTATGACACCAATGTTTGATTTCTTCAAACTGCTTTTAAAGAAAACAGGGATTCCCAAGCTCTTCTTATAGGCATGAAAAGAGAAAAAAAAAATGCCAACACGTTTTCTTTTGGTATCACTTAACAGTGATCTGGAAAATAACAATTCTATGTGCAAGTAATCCTTACAGTAGTAGTTCCTAATGCTGGGGAGGTAATAAATACAGTGTCTCTGCACAAGTGGGGAAGTGAAGGCTGGGAGAGCTCTCCACCACATCAGAGCCACATTGTCAGGCACAGAGTCCAGACTTGTTGAAAAGACTCAAATACAGGACTTACAGCTGTCGGAACTTGGCAGTTCCCAGTGGGAGCTGGCAGGGTTTGGGGCAGGTCTTCCAAAGTTCCCCATGCTGAATGAAGCAGGATTTGGTGCTGGTGTGGTGGCTGGTGTGGAGTTTGTTACTGGTCAGCTTGTAGGATTTGTGCTGAGCATGAGTGTCCTCTGTGCACTGTGCAGACAGAACATATTTGTTTATGAATGGGTGTGCTCTTCGGGTGGTCCTTGTTTGGTTCTCCATGCACATGCATACAAGCCATCACACTACATCTGTAAACAGACTTGATGGAGCAGAAGGGTAACCAGAGACAGAAGTGGCAGCAGAACAAATAAATCACATCCTACCATAGCATCTCTATAGGCAAATCCTAATGTTTGCAGAGTAAATAAAGAACATTCAGAAGTACAAAGCATGGTTAATGACCATCTTACAAATCTGACTGTTCTTTCCTCACATTCACATTCGTTTCTTTTTGTTTTCTTTGTTGTTTTTTTTTTTGTGTGTGTGTGTGTTCGTTTGTTTTTTTTTTTCATAGAGGCTTAATCCCTTTTCATTTACATTTGATTTCCTATAAATAGCTGTGTTCTGTTTAATGTATTTATGTTTAAAGTCATGTTTACTTCAAACACAGAGGGACTTCAGATGTCATTCATTTACTTCTGGCAGGGGACTTTGGACATCTGATTTCCTCTTGTCTTATGTATGAAGCTGCTAGGAGCTTCCAGGCATTTATTCAGGCCCTGAAATGACCTGCTTGAAGCCATCACCTGACTGAGATGTCTTCCTTACCTATGCTTACTGCACTCACCTTCTTTCCTGTGCCCAGTCCTTCTTCACTTTCTCTGCACAGCAGTCACAAGGACTCTGTGATTAGACACAGAGGAGCTAGAACTCTATGCCAGTCACTTCTGTGGTATCCTTTGAACATCACTTCTTTGCCTGAAATAATTTAAGGCTTACTTTATTCAAGATGGATGAAGCATGGAGTTTCTTTCCTATGATTTCTGAGCTTTTAGAACTTCCTAATTGAGGCAGCTTCAACAGGCTGTGTAAATAGTTGCATTTGCACGATGGGCACCATCATCTTAGCAGCTAATGAAATCCTATACTTCTGCACCTGGGAAGTTGCTAAGTAATTGTGAATGCAGGGTCAAGTTTAGCCTTGGTGTAATTGTCATAGTTTTTGTTTTATGGTCCCAGTGTGATTGTAAGCTTCGTTTGGTCTGAAAACAAATCAAACCATTTCCTGCAGAAGCTGAATGAAATGACGTGGGGATTCATCAATCAATGTCTTTTTGAAAAGCTCATTAGAACCAGCGGCCGTTAGAGGGCAATGGCCAGAGGTTATGGTCTTAAAGCTATCATTAAGTCTGGCCTGACATACAGGTTTGTAAACCATAACTCAAGGTTTCACAGTTAGGTAAATTTACACCAGCTGAAAATCTAGCCTCCTTCTTTTATAACATGTACAATAACTATTACAATTGAAACACAGAGAAAAGCTCTTTTTTTTTTCATAGAACAAAATAATCTATCAATGTGTGTGTCTATCAGATTGACAAAAGTGCATCATTTCAGTGGTGTGATTTTCTGTTTGTTCATGTGAGGTTGCAAAAGCCTCATAGCACTAAAAAAAAATAAAGGGGAAACAAAGTGTTAAATATGTAGAATATTTTTTCCCCTTACTCATCTTGTTCTACTACAGCAGAAGGGCAGTGAAAAGATTAAAAAATAAAAGCCAGTCCTTAAAACAGAGCTGTGATCAGTAGAGCATAAGCAGCACTTCAGAGTAAATTTTATAGAATTATAGGCAAAAAATTCCATTCAGATATGCATCATAGATTAAAAAGAAAACAAAAAAGCGCACAATGAGTACAGTGTTGTATTTTCCAAAGGAAAATATATTACCATAGCTTAAAATGACAAAATATCAGAAAGATTTCCACTTCACGGTAGATTATTTTGTACTAGAAAACTTTAAAAGTGCTTTGGGCTGAGTTCAGAAGGGAAATACTTGGGTTCATTATTTGATACCACCTTATATCCTGTGGTAGTAAAACAGGACTTGCATTGTCCTCTTGGGACTGCTCTGAACAAATGCAGCTTGTACAAACCCCATGAGCTTCGGGGGGACAGGATTTTGCAAGGTCAGTTCATTATGGCCTTTTTTTCCTCTGACACTCAAACTTGAATGAGTTGTTGAGTTTCACTCCAGACAAGGACTGTTCAGTGGCTTTTTTTTTTTTTTTTTTTCTCCTCCATCAGGTTTTGTTCATCAAAATGAGTGAAAGGGGGCTCATTCCCCTGTATATCTTAGTGAGCCCAAGTGAAAAAGAATAAAACAGCATTTATCTAAAAATGTATTATGGAGTCTGCCTGCTGATGCAAAAAGAAAATTAACACCTTTGCTGATAACTTGGATTGCCTTTACTCTTATGACATTTACAGCAGTAATTATTCCTTTCTGTGAAACAACACTTTTTGAGGAAGATTTTAATTAGAAAGTTTCTTTTATTTCCCACTGTACTCATGGTACCAAAAGGAAACGTGTCAGTGTCCCTTCCATGAATTTACCAAATGCTTTCTGCTTTTTATAAAAAATGGATATCTGACACTGAAGAAAGGTACAGTTTTGTGGATTGCCCTCTGAAGCTATACTGCACTGTGTCTGCTTCATTCTTCTCTTCATTCTGACTGAAGAGTATTTGTGTGTTATACTGGGAAGCCGTAAATATGAGAATAGAATGAAAATAATTCAGAGTGCCCTTTAATAATGGTCTGGAGTTGTGTGTTTGCTATTCAATGCACATGAGGATTTACAAAGAGACATTTTGGAGACACATAGAGCAGAACAGATTGACCTAACTGTATTTCTGATGCAACCAATTTGTTTCTATAAACATAAACTTCTTCCAGAATATGAATCAAGGAAGCTGTCAGTGAGCTGAAGTTACTTAAGCATTAGAGGAGGCTTCTGGTATGTTAGTCTTTGTGGCAATAAAATCTCCTTAGGGAATGAAAGCAAATTTATGACCTATTACTACAACATGTTTAATGTTTTCAGGCCTATCTCTGAGTCTAGAAGACTTTTTTTCTCCCTTGCAGTTGAATTTATTAAACATAGCTAGATTGAGGTATCGCAGAATTCATGGGATTATAGAGAACTGGATTGGGAGGGGATCTCTGGAGGTCACATAGTCCATTCCTCATGGCAGGACAGCATACAGGTGTACATGGATCTCCTCTGAGTGATGTAGGCTCCATAGCCCTAAGATCTCTATTTGATCGTTCTTCTTTAGAACACCAAAAAGTTTTTCCTAATGTCCAAACTAAAACTTTCTTGCTAAATTATAAAACATTTAATTTTTGTCCTCTCCAAGCAAGTTACAGAGAAGACATTGCTTTCTCTTTAAAACAACAGTTTACAGATTTGAAGATCACTGTTGCATTTTGTATTAGTCTCTCTAGGATATGAAGCCTTCCTGTTTCTCCTAGATGTCCAGATTTCTGGTCATTCCTGTTGCTCTTCTTTCAACCTCATTGGCCCACATGTTCCTTAGAGTTAGTTGAGGAAAATATAATTTGGATGTAATACTCTGAAGTCTTGCAGGTATCGAGTAAAGGAAAAAACTTATATTTTTCTTAATCAGGGTGAAAGTTCTTATGTTTTTATGTTCATCTTTTGACCAACTGTAGAACCCAGATTCTTACAAAGTAGTACCAAGCCAATTATACTAATTATACTTAAATTATGTTAGGAACTGTTGGTTGCTTATATAACATAGCAGTCACCTCACTTGATTTGCATCCTATTCTCGGAGACTATTTCAAAATGATAAAGTTCCTCTGCAGTTCTTGTCCTCTTTCAAAACAGATGCAAAATGGCTTCCACCAAAGCGAAGTTTAATAACACCACACTCTTTTTATCATTCAGTTCATTCACAATGAATAGTAAGAGGTGAGGAGAGACCTCTGTGGAATCCTCTTGCTGCAGCATTTGACAATGAACCATCAGTGATTATACTCTTCAGTGCGGCCTTCTGACTAGTTTTGCATTCACCCCCTCGTAGTATTCCCTAGTCCACATTTTTTCTCTTATTTATCAGAATGCTATATGAGACAGTGTCAGAAAACTTACTAGGGTCAAGATATATGATACTGACTGCTTCTTCCATGCCCACAAGGTCTATTATCCTGTAGGGGAAGGAAATTACATTAGTGTGACACAATTTGTTCTTGACAAATCCATGCTGGCCATAACTCATTTCCTAGTTATCTTCTGGATGCTTACAATAGGTTTTTGATTATTTTCTCCATCATTTAAAGTAATATAGTTAGAAGAGTTGTCAATTAAACATCTTTTTTATGCATCTTGTTGCACATTCGTTACCTGAAATTACACAACGATGTAAATTTTATCAATTTGCCCTTTTTCTAAGAATGGTAGAAATGAAGTTGCAGGTCTTTTTGCTCCTTGCCAGGAAAACATGTACCTTCTGGGAAGTTTATTTTCTGATTCCAGCCTTTTCTTGAACACATTTCTCTTTTTCTTTCTCTCTCTCTCTTTGTTTTGATGGGGGAATTTAATCAAGTAAATTGGAACTCATCAAGCTGAATATACTCCTTCAGTTTCATTGGCAGCAGTCAGGTTTTGCCCTATGTGACAAAGTGTGCAAGTCCCTCTTCACCTGGATGTTGGAACCGAGAAGACTTGCTTTGATGTCCTCTTCTGGCAGAAGTGGCACTATTATATAGTCCCACTGGGAAAGTACTGATGCTCTTCACACAGCAGTCAGTAGAGAGGAAAACCAGTTGCTGCAAATGGGGGACCTGGCAGCGTGGTTCCGGGAACAGGGCTACTGGGATGCTGGAAAGGAGGAATTAGAAAGAAAGGGAGCAGTAATAGCAAATAAACCCCTAAATTATTTTACTTTGCTTTCAACCCAGCAAGAAAGGAAACCTGTGAGATTTCATCTGGCAGTCACTGTTTCCTAAACTTGCTTTTCTTTAATCATATATCAAGATACACACAGGCCATAAGGCTTGTAAAAGCTCTTTGTTATTTATTTCTTTCACTAATCATCTCTGGTTAGTATTTATTGCATGACGTGGCAGGCAGAATAAAGTGACCTTTCCCTTTATCCACTTTTCCCCCACTCTCTCTGGAGAAGGAGGTGGATGTGGTAGGTATCTCAATGAATCTTCCAGACCATGCCAAATTCTGAAGCCACTTGCTGTGATCTAAGAGTTTAATACCAGAACCACATTGCAATACTTTCTAACAGATCTCCACTAACTGGTCTTAATCAAGTCTAGATATGTTCCACCTTTTCTCTGAAAAAGGTTAAAAAAAAAATAAAAAAATAAGTGACAACAGAGAAATTGAATAATATACGACCTTATCCGCTGCTAAGGGCTTTTATTGGGTATTGCCCTGCATAGAAACTTTTAAATTGAACATACTGGTATGCTGCCCAGTTTCAATGAGATAAGTGTCAAGCTAATTACATGTAATCCTTTATGACAGACACATCAGGCTTTTAAAACACAAATGCTCAGATTAAATGCGAATCAGGTGGCCTACTCCACATCCAGGCAAGTGAGTGAAGGTTTCCTAGACTAGAGTCTAGATTGTGCAAGTTTTAAGATGTGCTCCTAGACACAGAGGATAGAGAACATCTTACACTACCATGTTTCTGAAGCTTTCCATATTTAGCAGAAATCATTAACCGTTCCTTTGTTAGAACAGCCTGTTCATGAAAGGAAGTTCAAATAAATTTTTTTGCTGCTTCCAATGTGTTTTACAAAAGGAAAATGCAGCTGTTTGTGCAAATGCTTTTGTACATGAACTGAACTGTCACTATTGCAACTTTAGCCAGCTGTAGAAAAATATGAAGAAATTATACCTGGTCTTTTTAATTAGTTTTCTTTAATTTACCTGTTTAATTGAAGTAATTCCCATACTGTTCTTGCTATAGTACAGAACTTCATCTCCTTATTGTTCCACTTCCCATAATTTTTCCTCCAAGGCTTTGCAGGTGAAATAAAGTATGGCTACTTCTACAGCTGGGATGTCACATATGAGGGCTGTGAGCAAACAAAATCTGGGAGATGTATCAACTACTTTGCTGTTAGTTTTGCAAAAATTAACTTCCATTGCAATAAATAAAATATTTTTACTTGAAGTTTATGTTGAGCTGCAGTAAATTTGCAGCTATCTTCTATAGGAAGCTAATGAGCTTTCTGGTTTTCTCTAGAAAAATATGCCAGGCAGTTTAGAATATAGATGGATTGCAATGAGAGTTTTGGATGAGTATCAGAACCAAAAAGAATTAACAGTAAATGGTTGATTTGACATGTTGCACTTATTTTCCCCAACCATGTTCAAGTGGAACAACAACATTCTCTGACTTGCTTCTTGTTGGTGTGTTGCAGACTTGAAGAAACAGTAGCCTGGATTGGTCCTTGATATGCAATTACTTCATGAAGCACTGTACACAGGACTACAGGTGAGACTTAAACTACTCCCTTTTCTCATACTCTCCTATATGAAATGCGGCTGCTTCTGACCCTGATACACTGGTACACCATAAAGGAAGAAGTACAGCCCACTGCTTTGGTCTCTAGCTGGAGGTGGCTTGGCTCTCCTTGTCCATCTGTAAGTCACCTGCTTGCTTCAGTGTCTGTTGCGGTGAAATTAATGGGATTAATCATAGTAGTTATCAGTCCTGAGGCCAAAAATGGGAAAGGGGGGATGCTTGAGGTCTCTGGTACAAATAATAGCTTTGAGAAAGTTAGATTAATTCTTCACTGTTTCTTCGTAACACAAGTATTGGAATCATTCACTGAAGTGATCATCATTAAAAAAGGCAAAAGAGAGTTTGATTTTTGTTACATACATCACGTGGTTAAAATGCGCACTTTACTTTTGGAGGGAGAGTCAAAAGTACAGATAGGTGAAAGGGGGTCATGTAGGACAAATCCTTTAACAAGACTGTCAACACAACAGTCCAGCTGCATCTGCAGCTTTTGCAGGGAAATGAAAACCTGGCTATCAGAAGCTGTGAGGATGCAATAGGGAAAGATCATCCTTTATTTGCCTCCTGGTCTTTTACTTGCTCCCATATCACTGGCTTCTCTGGCACAGAAGAGGAGCTTTCTACTTGAATCCTGCACTCAGTCTAGGATAGTGTAGTTCTCAGTGGATATGGACCATGTATTCCTGTGAGCAATTCACGAGCTGCCTGCGTGCCTGCAAGAAGTCAATGTTCTCTGGGCTAAAATGCATGACAAAATTAAATCATTTTTAAATTGGAGTTAATGCTAATAGGTATTTTTCCGCAGAGCTCATCACGTTCTGTTTCACATGCGAGTCTGTCTCCTTGGTTCATGAAAAGCAGTCGTTTCTTTAACCTTCTTTTTAAGTAGGTTTTTCCTCTCATTTCCTCTATGTCTGAAATACTTGACCACAGTTCCTGGTTATTATTAGTGTAACACCTATAATCATACTAACTGTCTTCATTTGCACAGCACCATTAGCCAAGCCTCCCAGCCAGGCAAATGTGTGCCAAGGAAGGAATTGCATCTTTTCATTGGGATAGTAACAGTCTGAAGGCATTATAGGACACAGCGTTGAGTACCACCAGACATGGAATTGAGCAGGTAAGCAGTGTACAGACATTAGTCCTGGAGGGCTTATCCAGAAGAATTCCGGGATTTCTCACAGGAAAAGAGAGTGAGCCTTTGAGAAATGTGCTTTGTGACACAGAGCAGTGCATGCTTATGTGTATGTGTCTTCAAAGGGCAAAGAGCAGCTAAATGGCCAGCTCACCTGAATGCCAGTGACTGTTGCATACCTGAATGATCTTCGAATGGCTAGCAGGCTGCTTGTTTGTGGGGGTGGAAGGGACATGGCCCTTACTCATGTGGATAAGCTCAAGAACATGTTAAACAGCTATGTGTATTTGTTTGGGTTATTATTAGTGCCCTAGGTAAGCTCGGTGTCCAGCATGATAGTACAGAAGCTTTGTTCAATGAGTATGGTATGTCACTCATACAAGTCTCTGCTCTGATCAGGGTGACCCTTCCTTTGTTTCAGTGTGACACCTTGTGTTCTCTGTGGTTGTTCAGTGATTACACGAAGGCATTATGCTGACATCCAAGCCTATGTTACCATCATTAATAATAATAATACAAAAATGGCATGCTGTTTTCTGCAGTGCTTTAAGGCTACTTGCAAATTAAAAGTCAGCGGTGAGTGCAACAGGCTGCTTTCTCAGCAGTGTTGGCAGTGCAGAGCACAGAGCAGCAGCTTGGCCCCATCCATGCCTGTTCACAGATGTGTTTGTCTGGGGAATGAAAGCAGAAACCAGCGCACTTCAAGGCTTCCCTGTGGCTCAGCCTGCTCCTTGTTGTTGACAGTGCTGTTTGATGCCTTCTGGGTGCATGTAGCCATGGGATAGGGTTATTGACATGTTTAATAATAACACAGTAAAAGGATATTTGGAGGAGTCATGTGGAGGGTGAAGGTCTACAGAGATCAGCTCCTGGTAGGACAGCAACTTCTTCCTGCAGTGCTGTGAAGGTCACCTTTGAATCTTTGGTTTGTAGTGCAGCGAAGTTTGAGGACAGCTTCCTTGACCTTGGTATAAGGCACCTTTATGGAGAAAGAATGGCAGCACCTCTGACTTTGTTCTTCACAGTTGCTCCCTTCCCTTCCAATAAGAAAGAAGGGGACAGACTCTTTCTTTAGCAGGATCTGTCGTGATAGGAGAAGTGAAAATGGTTTCAAACTAAAAGAGGGGGAGACTTAGACTGGATAGAAGGAAATAGTTGTTTATTGTAAGGGCGGTAAGGCACTGACACAGGTTGCACAGAGAAATGGTAAATGCCCCATCCCCACCCATGGTCAGGCCGGATGGGTCTCTGAGCACGTGATGGAGCTGTAGGTGTCCCTGCTTCTTGCTAGGGGGCTGGACCAGGTGGCCTTTAAGGGTTCCTTCCAACTCAAATAATTCTTTGATTTTATGATTCCTGCACCAAGCTCCTCTCTGGAAGTGATGGCTCCTGGTTCTGCTCCTTGTCAGCTTATTGCTGCCTGCCTCTGCTTTTGGTTTAGCTAGAGCTTTGCTTATTATTCAATCAAAACTCAGCAGGAGTTTTTGCTGAATTATTGTAAACTCACTGGGGTAAAAGCTGTGCCTTCTTACTCAGCAGTGGGAGACCATGCACATTGATTGTTGCTGGGAGAAAATAAAAATGAATACGTTCACATTGATTACATGTGTTCTTACTATGAGACTCATTGCACAGCCCCGGTGTACGTCTGTTTTCTCTTTATTGCTATTAGCAATAAATCAACTACTTTTTTTTTTTTTTCCTCCTCTTTTCTTTTTCCTTTCCCTTTAAGTAATCTAATGTTCTGCAAAATGAATTTGAATAAGGAGAGTTGACTGTAAAATAACTTGTGGGAACGTATGATAAGCTGCCTTAACTTCCCAGTCATGCTAAAAATCCCCCCTTGACGTCTGAAACCCAGACAGTTCCTCCCAGATGCAATTCAGATGGTCTGGACCCAACAGACACAAGTTTTGTGCAAGTTTTATACACTTCATCTAATGAATATGCAATTTTTTTCCAATGCAATTGTGACAAATGGTACAGCTGGGGACCAGACATTGAGAGCAGTGCTTTTCTTCCAGCCTGGGAAACTACAGATATTTGCTTTGTTCCAGGTATATATTGGATATTTCTGAATTTTAAGCACTAAACCATTACTTATTATTTTATCTTGTGATCCTCTGTTTCATGTCATATATCTGCTACAGACAATGGCATTGAAAAGCTTAGACACACTGTTCTGACTTAAATTCCTGTTCTCTGGAGAGCAAGTTGTTGGTTTATGAGCAGGAATTGAGCAGTCCAAGAGCATGATGCTTGTATTGCCATATTAAATTGAAAGCAAAGAGCTGTAAGTAGGGCTGACATTTCTGTCTGTCAGCCACACACAACAGATATGAACTGAGAGCAAGCTGGAGGGAGGCAGAAAAGGGTGAAAAGGGCACTCTCCCAAAGCAGAAGGGAGCCAGATGGAGTGACACCACAGATATGGATTCAGTGTATGGGACTGTGCAATGGCTCTGTAGAAGGAAACAGAAAATGGAAGGATCTGAATATCGATGGAAATGAAAAGAAAAAAAACATAATGAAGAGTAATGGACAAGACAAAAAGAAAGATTATGCCTGATACTGTGGAAGAGATACCCTGCTGTTGACATCTGCTCGGCTCAGGAGGAGTCTCCCTCAGAAAGATGTTGAAATACTCTCGTTCAACACATTTAAAAATAGACTAAACAAACCTCAGTGAGCCAGACTCTCCTCCTCATACTCACACAGGGCCATAACTCATGCCTGCATGTCCTTTGAAGCCTGGGAACCCTTGTAGAATGAGAAGGGCTGAGCTGGATGCAAGGCAGAAATCTGGTCCTGGGTCCTGCATTGTCACAGACATGGATCAGATGAATGATTGTCTCTTTTCAGGTCAGAAATGCCACACTGGCACATGGCTTCCTGCAAAGACATGAACTCAAGGAAGAGACTTAAAGCAAAGCATGTGTCAAAGGGCTTTGCAGAAGCTGCAAAGCTTCTGGGATCCACACAGCAAAACACAGGAGCACCCACTTCCATCCAATCTCAGCAGAGCCCTGATAAATGCATAAATGAACTTTTTTCCTTCTTACACAGTTCTGTGTGATGACAGTATCTCTACAATCTTCAAGAGGAAGTAATCATCTGCTGATAAACATCTCCTCTCCAAATGTACATAGTAAAAAGACACATTCTTTTGTATATATTTAATTACAGGAGAACAGATTTTGTCCAAATAATTAGGTAATTTAAACTATGCAGTCTTTCCCAAAGAACTATATTTAACCTTCATTTGAATTTAATTTCCACATCACAGTGCCCCTTAAGCAGTTCTGTAAGTCAAAACAGTGATCAAATAATTTTTAAATGTCAAATGTTGCTTAATTGTGGATAGCGCTGAATTTGTTTTAAGAGATAACAGCTTTTGATCTGCTGCTATTTTTTGTCTGTCCCATTGTCATGTTTCTCTTCATCAAAAGTTTCTGTCAACTGTTTAATCCATACAACACCCGACTTTCCAGACAGCTGAAGATTTCAAAGAAGAAATGTGGGGAACCCTTCAAAAGTTTCATGAAGTATTAAACAGGATGTGAATTAGTGTCTTGCTACTACAGACCCCAGCACTTGCAAGAGGAAGAAAAAATAATTTTTTTAAATTCAATTATTATTAAGGGATTATAATGTTTTTGCCTGAATTAAGGGATAGTGCTGTAAAGAAAAATTTTACAGCATTAATATAAATCAGCATAACTTTATTGGCTTTAATACACCTATTCTGATTTGCACCACTCAGGATCTGGATCCTTACATCTAAATGTATCTTTCGCTGCATGGAAGTAGATCATTTTTCTCCTGACTTGCTCTTCCCTATTGTTTTGCCCCTGTAAATTATATATATTAGGTTCATAAGCAGTGCAGTGAAAGTAAACAGGAAGAGAGCCTCACAGTTTGAATGAATTATAACAAAAACTACAGTAGGTCTGACCTACATTAAACTAGTTCAGTAGAACAAGCTATATACAAAGTGGCTTGTATTTCAAGGGTTGGCTCTAACGTTTGTTCTCAACTTTAAAAAAAAAGGAATGAGTCCAAAGAATCACAATAGTCTCATCGGTCTCTTTGAAACAAACAAAAGCCAATGTACACTCCACAGCTCAGTCATAAAAACAATAGAGCAGGAAGACTTTCCTGTAACAGCATCTCCCACTGGGCGATAGCAGTTGAAAGTACTTACCATGATTATGATTAATTTCATTAGTGCTCAGTTCACTTTAATACTTTTCTTCCTCTATCTCTGAATGCAGATAATTTTTCCCTGCAAGTAAATCCAGGGTGACAGTTTAATAGGCTCAGACATGCTTAGATCCGAAATGAGACTGTAATATTAATATACTATTGACCAGTTATAGATTAAGCAAACTGAGGGCACACTTAAGTAAATGACTTCAGAGGGACAAGTTAATGTGCTAAGTGGTTCACAGGCAATGATTAAAAATATTCTTCATTTACTTGGAAATTAATAGGTTTCTTTAATTAATCTAATAAAGCCACCCTGTGGTACATTACATATTTGGTGCATGTTTTAAAATATGATGCTGAGTTGCTGGATCTGGAAATCCCTGTGCTGCTTACTGAAAAAAGGAAACAGTCATATATGAAAGCAGTCTTGCATATGGCTAGAGTTTCCAACAAGACATCTTCTTTACCACAAGCAGGATTACTTTGCATGAAGGGTGTTAGGAATCTCAACGTTAAGCAATCAACAGCACCAGCGATTCCATGTGTGAATTGCAGAATCATCCAAGTATCTTTGGGGATTATTAGTGTATTTCACAACTGCATCCAGTCAAATGAGCATTTTTCTCCAACAGTCTTTCAAATCCATCCGATCAACCAACTGAAAGAAAACAACTTCAACAGAATCTTTGCAACAAAAGCAACTCATATGCTGAAAAGTGCTAAAGCCTTGCAATGCTAAAGCCTTGCTAAGGATTAAGGGGTAAGGA